GTAGGTTAATGTAATTGTGTTTTCCTTAATGTAGTTGCGCTTTGCTTTATGTAGTTTTGTTTTTCTTAATGTAGTTGCGTTTTGCTTTATGTACTTGCGATTTCCTTAATGTAGTTGCGCTTTTAGATTTGTAGTTGCAGTTTGCACTTCAGGGCCACCGTATGATTGGCTAAAAATAAGCATTAAATCCCAAAAAGAGAAAATGGCTGCTGGATTTATGGCGGCGCCCTGTGACGGTTGATTCCAGTTTATTAAAGGAACAGTTATTCTGCGACTCTGCCTCCAAAAACACTTTATTAGTTTTGATCTGGTCGTCATTGTCTGATCTGAAACGTTTATGTTTGTCTAAAAACATGCAGAGCAGAAGTCGTCCCTCTGATGGAAAACACCTTTTTACGCCCCCGAACCGGAGAACACAAACAACGGCGAGGTGGGCGCCCCCTCCCAGTGTTTCTTTAGATGTGCCTCGGTGAATTACCCGTCTCGGTCACATCCACTTTCATTACCGCCTGACATTTAGTGAGGCGCCCCGGTGTACCTGAATGTCACATGGTAATGAGGATGGATACGACGGTGACAGAGCCGTCGATGGAGGCGGCAGCGGCGGCGGCACAGCCCCCCCCCCCGACTCGTGACACAAACGTGTTACAAACATCACAATCTGGCTCCATGTGGAGACCAAGACAACAAGCAAACTCTATTTACCAGACCTCATTCTCTCATTCGGACCCCGAGTAATTACTTTTAAATTGCAAAAACTGGGGAACATTAACAAACGGATGCAGCAATTTAGCTCCGCCTGAGGCTAGACAGCTTGTTTTCAAATGGAAATGAAGGTATTTTGCCATTGTCCACTGCTGTATTGTGGTGTTATGGTTTGAGGCCTTTTTTTTTTTCCCTCTCCCCCCGCGTGCATGATAAAAGCGCCGGTGTTTACCAGGCCCATTGTTGCGGACGACTGCTCAGAGCGAGGATAATTCTGGCTTAATACTAACGCTGTCGGAGGAGAGCGTGGCTCCTTCTGCTCAGAAAGACAGACACGTCGCCTCGGCAAACACTTCAGCGATATCTGAGGTGTGACAGCACAAACAGAGCAGAAAAAAAGCAGCTCCTTTCCTCCCCGGCGAAGAGGGGAGCATTTTCCCCATGTCAGGGTCACAACACTTCAATAGCAGCCGTGATTATCATGATCAGCTCTAATGAGGGGGCTTCAGGGGTGAACGCCACTCGCTCCTTTTCCTTTAACACAGCCTGTTATTACCACTTTTTGTTCCTTCTCTCTGACTCACACTCCAGGCCCGTCTTGTAACGTGTAATTCTCTCCCCAATAGCGGGCCTGTCATCCTGCCCCTGTCACCGACCTGACAAGGCTGACGAAGGCGCCCAAAAATCGCAGGGAGCACAAAGGAGAGGCGGCCGGGTCTCCATTATGGCCTCGCTAGGGTCGCTGCACGGCTGATGAGGTCTGGAACAATCTCGGGAAACGTGTCAAGGGCGCCGACTCATTGTCACAGCGGGGTTTGGTCAGGCCGAGAAAATAAGAAAAAATGGAGCTGCTGTTTGATCAAGGTGCCTGAAAATGTGATATTTCAGTTAAAGATGAGAGTAGAGCAACGGTCCCAATCGCATCTCAACAAAACGCTGCAAACATTAAAGTTTCTAACCTTTTTAATTTACAAAACTACAAAAAATTCTTCTGAGAAAACAAACGAATGAAGCACAAAAGCAAACAGACGACGCTGCATGTTTTCCTTCCACTCAACTTTCAACAAAGATCAAAGAATAACCAGCTTTTAAAGCACTTTATTTCCTCTACCCATCCTCCCTAAATTGTTTGGCTATAAAATGACGTGTATTATGATTTGATTTGAATATTTATTCAACAATCTCTCTCTGCTTTTTCTCATAGTAGCTTCATCTGGTCTGTTCCTGTTTGACTGTGACTCCATCCTGGAGAGAAATATCAGCTGTGCTGCTGCCATCAACACCTTTGTTTATAGATGCTGGAGATCAGCCTGTTTTTCAGTGTAGTCCTGTTTCTCTTACTGACACTAACTGGATATGCTCTCTTCATCCTCTGACATGGGAGCTGGCTCGGAGCTCGTCTGCCTGGCTGTGTGTTTCCTGGATATGTCCGCTTGAGAAGCTTGTTGACAAGTTCCTTTTCTATCTCTGCTTCTGTCTCCTTGAACCCCAGTCGGCCTCAGCAGATGGCCGTTCACACTGAGCCTGGTTCTGCTGGAGGTTTCTTCCTGTTAAAAGGGAGTTTTTCCTCTCCACTGTCGCTACAAGCATTCTTAGTGTGAGGGATTGCTTTCCAGTCAATGAGTCGATGCAATCAACTGGTTTTCCTTAGCAAACTTTGAATCAGTTTGACTGTATGATGAGGTTGAATTGTAAAGTTGTTGGCCCTATATAAATAAACTGAATTAAATTGAACATGTCAAAGAAGAAGGATTGAGAGTTTAATCAAACTCAGAGTCAAACACCAATCATCACATTTGAATTGACATCTGTTAGTTAAAGTTCATGGCTTGAATTTCATATCTGAAATTTCAGATATTAAACCAAACATTTCAAGGTTAACATAAATGAAAGAGACTCTCAGCAATAAGAAAAAAAAAAAAAGAAACATCCTGAACTTCTCAGAAGGAAAACGTCTGATTCTGCGTTCAGGTTTCAAGCGTGACTCATCAAAGGCGTCACTTCAGACGACGGAGGCTTTCTGCTGCTGCATGCAGCAAACGACTCGACTTAACGACGCGTTTGATGACGAAGGTTTGCTGCAGAATGGCTGCAAAGAAGCTATTTCTATTCCTGCATTTTTGTCCCAAACATGACTTCAGAAACATTTCCTGGGCTGATGTGACAGAAACGTTGAACCTCTGAAGCTTCGGATTCAGTCCGAGGTTCGCTCTTTCTTACTGTCTAGGAAAAATAAATCCCATTTCATCTTCCCTGCTGTTTGTTTTATTAATGCCTTTCATGTAAGCAGGGAGCAGAGCTGCGTTCAGGAACGGCATCAACATCCTGTGAAAATTTCCTGTGCTTGGGAATCGCAGACTTATTTCAACCAGGGTCAACGTCCGATTAAATCAATAAGTAAAAAAACTGCAAAGAAACAAGTTGGGGAGGGGAAACATTAAGTGGCAGAGGAAACAGGCTCACTACTACTAACAGAGGAATTATTAGCAGTAACATTTGTTCACCTCTCCTGACATCACGCTACGTTTGGATGATTTAAAATGAAAAACATGCAGCCTTTCATTCAGCTGTTAGTCACCATATTATCTGAATGCTAATTTCTCATTCAAGCCTTCCTTTCTTGTCTGATTACTACCTTTATCATTTTTATTAAAGGCTTTTTTTTACAGGAAACTAATAGAAATGTTTTATTCTTATTTCTCATCTGGATAAATCCTCCATTTATCCAGAGCTTCTATGACGATTGTTATTCCCTGTCAGATGTTACGGCTGTCAAGGACTTTTCCTTTATCAGCCAATATGATTGACAATATGTGGGGGAGGGGGGCTTATTCTGTTTGATTTTACTGTAGGTGATCAGATGTGTTCAGATCTGTGTTTTTAAAGGAAAAGTCCGGTCAGCAAGGAATAATCAAGGGATCATTGTTTATACCTAAAACTAATACGTTTGCGGTGATTTAATGAATTTAGCGTTAATCAGTAAAATAAATAAAAATGGGTCTGGTCTGGGTGCGGCTATCTTTGCCCAAATATAGTAACACCTCACTCCCTACATCTTCCAGCAGTGACGTCACGGTGCGGTAAGCCTAGCGCCATTCTCCCCGCTTTACAAGCTAAATCAATGGGAACTACTAGACACATACTTAAAGTACTTTCAGAAGTTTGAATTCTGAATATGACCGGACTTTTCCTTTAAATCTCTTATTTAGAAGGCTCCATCTGACCAAGTTAAAGAGAAAAAGCTTGATTTTCTAAATGCATCATATGAAGAATCAGAATTAAGGAAGACACTTATTCTGGATCCTTAAAAAAATGGTTAAAATTGACCAAACCAGAAGGTGTGTGCAGACAGAAGACAGAGTGAGTCTCTGTTCCACCATGTAGAAGGTTCAGGAAGATCAACATGATGCATACTCAGCAAAGCAGCTAAACAGGACAGACAGCTGAAGAAGAGTGTCGTACCTCCATGGTCTGAGACTGGTGCATGGCTTTGATTGCATTCTGTGCCATGGCTCTGGTGGAAAACGTGACAAACGCACAACCTGTAAGGAGGGGGGGGGGGAGGGATGGAAGGACAGGGGAAGGGAGGAGGGGGAAGGCAGAGGGCGGGAGGAAGAGGAGGAGGAAGACAAGAAAGAACAAAAACAAGACAAAGGGTTGGACACGTCGTCGTTATAAAAAGAAAAACAGATTGATACAGAGAACATCTCACAGGTGGACAACATCGTTTTCAGTGGCTGGAAAAACGAGCATCATGACATCACATCCTGCCCCCCCCCCTCCCAACAGGCTGGCCCTCCTCAGCCCCTGTCTACTCCTAGCCTCTCCTGAAATATTAAGCTCCCTGAGCCAACATTTTCTCTTCTTTCTGACGGGGACGGAAGCTGCAGCAGCGGCGGGACGCAGCAACAGAGCTGCAGGGAATCTCATCAATTCAATCCTCTTATAGATGAGAGGAGGAAGGAGACGGGAGGAGGTGTGGCCTTCCTCCTCCGTGATCATGGCGCGCTTTAGCCAATCAAGACGTCCGACTGCAGGGCGGCGTGTTTCCTGGCTGGTTAGGGAGCCGTTAGAGGAGATAATGTGAGCAGTGCTTCAGAAACACCCCAGGCTAATAACATGCTAACACATTCAGCGGGGCGTGTTAGCGAAGCCGGGTCTGAACCCATCACACACACACACTGGGTTCAGGCCCTGCCTTAGCTTCTGAGGATCCAGACCAGAACCAGGTAGACTCTCCCTTCAGGAGAAGGACAGATGTAATCCATGTCCTCCTCCATCAGAACTGCACAGCAGCAGAACTCTTCCTGTTTTACAAACAGTGTAAAGGTTTTTGGTATGATGCTCTCTGAAGTTTTTTTTGTTTGTATTTCGGCTGCTTTTATTGGATCAGATCTTTACAGCCAACAGCTTCTTACAAAGAACCAATCAAAACATGAGGCTGCAGTGAATTGTCCGACTGAGGATCGTTAGAAGGTAAAGATCCAGGTCTTCTGCTGGAGGCTTCTGTTCTCTGCAACCTTTAAGCAGCCATCTTTGTCAGGTTTTTTTTACTTTTAAATCAATCTAGCTTGTCTGTTCATGCTGTAGAAATGACCCCCACAGCATCAGGCTGCCACCTCCGTGTATCCCCATGGCAACATGCTAATCCACATATTTTATTGAGTGGAACAAACTGCTCATTTTGGTTTCCTCCTCTCAAATGTTTTGTCTTTAAACTGGATTAATTCCAGCTGATTTTAAACCCTGAAAACTCCCTTATTAACGGTTGAATGGTTGGACTTGATTATGATGCCCCAAAATGTAATCATATTTCAGGGATTTAGGAATTTTTTTTTTTTAACGGTTTCACTAAAACCGAAAAATGGATGCAATAAAGACAGAGAATGAATGTGTGTGATATCAGAAGTCTGCTTTAGTCTGTTTTTAATTTAACCTTTTTCTCTTTTAGAGTTTCATCCTGTAACCTCTCCCCCGCCAGCTGTGAACATCTGCCTCAGTCGCCTCTCTCAGCGGATATTTCTCTCCTCAGACTTCCGAACTGTCCTTGATTCGCTAGTCTTTTCTTCCATTTCACATCCTTCCGACTGGATTGTCAGAGTTTATCACACTTGTGCTGAGCTCCTTTAAACGTTGGAGTGCAGTAAGATGAGAGGCCTGAAGGTTATTGGATTCTGCAGTACCGACCCAGTAAATGCAGCAAAATGCAAGGTTGTTTGAAAAGAGGTCATTCTATCAAACCATTCAGGGGCTGCCTGTTTTAGACGTGCATCATTTAACAGCTTCTCTTCCAGGAGGCAGCAGAGTTCTGCAGATTTAGGTTAGGTCTCCAGGCTAGCTCTGAGGGTCGAAGCATGAGAGGCAAACAAATTTTGGGGAAGGGGCAATAATTCAGACCGTTAATCATCGAATATGACCTGAGATCATATTGAGATCATATTGTCCTGAGACAGGGAGCTGATCAAAAACTCAGCCGACTCACAGCAGTAATTATGCAAGGAGATCCTTGAAGGCAGTTTCTGACGTCCATTAGTCCGGAGGTCCAGTTCTAGGGCTTTGGGCCAAAACAGAACCACAGTAAGAACCACCATCCACCACTGGAGAAAACAAGGACCAGTTACGAACCTTCTAGAACTACTCAAAGAAAAATCCAGAACATTTAAAGCCCTGCAGGCCTCACTACCTCACTTAAGGTCAAAGGTCGTGATTCAAAAACAGGGAAAAAATATGGCTACAGCTCTAAGGCCAGAACCCCGGCTGACCCAGACCCAAGGTCTCTCTCACTTTCACCAAAGATATGACCTTCCTGCAAGGCTGTGAGTTCCGGAACATCCGGAGTGAAGCTAAGAGAACACAACCAGATCTTTATCCAAACACGGCGGTGGTAGAATGGTGGGTTTGCTGCTTCTGGACCTGGAAGACCTGTTGGAACCATCATCATACTATTTAAATGAGCTATCAGTGAAATGTCAGCGCTAGGTGGCCCTGTGGTTCACTGTAGACCAAAACAAGATGCGCGACAAGTGATGTCATGTGATGTCACACCTAAAGGGCTGTGTGAAACTCCCGCAGCAGTGTGTCGCAGTTAGCTTGTCGCAGATATTTTGGATTTATGTCCAATTTTGAAGCTTGGTCTGCGCAATGTTATTCCATGCTACAACGCAAGAGGGACTATCACGAACTAGTTAGGATTATGGGTGTCCATGTGTGCTCGCTGTCCACAACCCCTCATCTAAAGCTGGACGACACACAGTTCAGCAGTGAGTGTTCACCAAAGACTGGCCGTGGCGCTGCCTGTTTTGGCTTCGGGTGCGAACGAACAGACCGTCGCACAGAGCTACAAACTAGCTTCCTCTATGGTGTCTGGGACAGTTTCTGAGGTGTGCAGGCGTTCTGAATGGCACAACAGCCAGAGGCTGTTTCTCAATATGTGTACTTGTGCGTTCTCATGTGCTTGTGTACTCGTGTACCGCCATCAGCTTCAGCCCTAGTACTGTTCCAATTCACAAGAACAAGACCAAGAACGGAGAAAGTCCCCGAATGCTGTTCCCGCCCCTCCCTCTTTACCCATCATGCATCAGAGCAGACTTGTCCGTTCTTGAGATTGACAGCTGTCCCAGCATGCACTGCAGCAGCAGCTTCCAATGGAGCGCTCACAGAGCTCAGAGTATTAAGTTAAAAGTTTTCTTTTCTGTTGACGTTGTTCAATAAAAATACCTTTTAAGATTATTTGAGGCATGAACATTATACTTTTAAGCGTCACTATGTGGCCAGTTTACTGATTTAATGCGTAATTTAACAAAACATTTCCAAAGTTGAGAGGACCACGGCAACCAGCGTACCTAGGAGGCTAATGGCTGCCAGGGCTAACGTTAGCACGTCTGCAGCAGCCCTCTCTCTGCATGGCCGTGTGAAGGAACACTGGCTCTGATGGAGGTTTTTTGGTTTTATTTGGCAAAACGTTAATTTGATTTGTGTTTATCTGACTGTGTTCATTATTATTCCCCAACTAAATGAAAAAGACAAGAATTTATTATTATCTAGAGACTATTAATAACAGGAGGTGAAATGCAGCTTCAGACGAGCCGAACGTGTGGTGATGTCATCAGTACGCTTCCGTTCCTATTGACCCATATTGATGCTGCGTGCTCCCGTTCTCCCAGAGTCCACACTTTCCCGTGTTCTTGTCAAGAACATACTTGGCGAGGACACGAGTCCGTACTCACGTTCTTCTGAATTAAGAAACGGCCAAAGTTTCTGCCATTAGGTACCAAACAGCATAGCATAGGGTGGATGTAGAATTGACCAATCAGAGGCCTCCTGTCTGCACCTACAATTTTGGGGAGGTGCACCAGAGTGTCTGGGAAGGGATGGGGGCATATCTGCGTTAACTGCGACACACAAGAAGACGACCTGATTTCTGAGCATAAACCAGGCTAAAGAAGATACCTTCAGGTCTTCATATATCTTTCCTCCCAATACCTGAATGAATTATGGGATGGAACATCAGGTTCTGGAGGGTCAGGGATCAGGTTGCCTTTCCCTCATTATCACGAATCACCTTTTAAGAACTGCTCTGACATTAACATCACTTTGGTGACAGGAAACTGCTGATGTTCTGATGGTCCTCACTGTTTTTAACCTCCTGAAGCTGGATTCATTCACTGCCTGGGTATGTAGTACAGCATATGCTAACTTCCTGACTGCTAGGCGTGTTTCTGCAGAGATGGGACATGGCTTGATCGCTAAAAATACCTCGTGGGCCGCATTCTGTCGTCAGCGGAGAACCGCACAGTCCTTTAATGAAAGTAGGGTAGCTCCCCAGGCCCAGCCATCCACTGGTGGTGTGATCCATATTTTATTAATAGCCTAGCGTTCGTCTGATTGATACTGTAGCTTTAAAGTGAGTTCTGCAGCACAGCTAGGTGGGACTGGGGGCCGCTGAGAGCTACCAGCACACAAATCCTTCAAGACCTATTTATTTTCAACCTGATTAGAGGCGTTTATAGACCAGCCAGGTTTTGTCTGAGACTTGTGTCAGCTGCTAAGTGGCTTATATCAGCTCTACAGAAACCAGGATTTGGCCATCAGGTTTGAAATATTTATGAGGACAAAAGAGAGGAGCTGAAAAGGGATGGAAGACAGAAGCAAGGAAAGGGAGAGAAGGAAGCCGAGGAGGGATGTCTGAGAAAAAGACAAATTGATTCAATAGTGAATTCTGGGACAGCCAGTGTGAATTTATAGAACGGTGGTGCCGTTAGTTTCAGCCAAAAACGGATCTGTTGTTAAAACAACCTTGAGGAGACAGAAAGAAAAAAGCCACATTCAGAATAAAAGGGACTTGAGTCGATGGTAAAACATTCGAAACGTTCAACAAGCACAGAAGAAAGCATGTGACCGACAGCTGGACATGGATCCTGTGACAGCGACAGCTCGGGGGACGAGGGGAGAGTTTTACCTCCTCAGCACACGGGACCACAGAGGGGGAGGAGAGGCGGGGGCATGGCTGAGATCAGGTGGGAGGAAATGCTAATGGGATGGAGTGATCAATGAGGGAAACGCTTCTTGTTTCTACGGTTTCACTGGAACGCCTGGTTAGGTCCCTTTAAATGGAAAAATACAGCTGTGAGCCTCAGATTCGCTTCTGTGGAGGCCAGCTGTGAACAAGTGGCTGGATCCTTCCTACCATTGCCTGAGCGGGAGGCGGGATGGGGTGGGGTTGCATCTTCATCACTGGGAAACATGGCTTATCGTCATCAGAGGGAATATTAAAGCAGAGATGAGTTAAAATGACATCCTGCAACCAGACAGTGCCACATCTCCACCCTTAGAGACGACTCTACCCTCCAGGGCGTTACTGACCGATTAAAGCATACGCTCTACGGTTTTTAGCCCTTTTCAGGCCGATTTTCCAGTCGTGACAGAATTTTTTAATACTTTTTACCTACTGATAACAGCAAATAAAGCTTAAATTGTTACAGGCAAAGTAAGGAAACGGTAGCTCCGCCCACTTTTTGCAGCTAGAGCAGCAAAGATGCGTCAACCTCGCATCAGAGCTAAACTTGAACAAGCATCAAAAATGAATCAGCACGCGCGTTTTTGCTGCTCCTGCTGCTTGCGTTCTGAACGTAGCGCCAAAGATCAATTAGAACCAGTTCAGACTGGATGAGCGATACGGACAAGCTCAGCTCAGCTGAAATATTAGGTACCGCCCGACTGATTAGACATCTTGTTAACGAGACGGTTGGTGTTTTTGAATCCACCCTGCAGCACTTCCTCACAGCGCCACATGTTCCAATTAAAATGGCGGAGGAAGCTCCTTCTGACGTTCAGATTAGAGTTTGAGACATTGCCACACTGGAAGTCTTGATCTGATTTCTTTAGGTTTTATTGTTCTGCAGCTTTGCAGCGAAGCCTTCCTCACAGAATCACAGGATCCTTCCAGAAAGTAAAGGTCTGATGACTGGAGCCCTGAATAATAACCCTAACAGCATCTGATTGTTTATTTATTTAGAAAAACTACAAAAAAATGTCTGTCACTGTCTTAAACTGGAACAGTTCAACATTATTTTGGAGTATTGGTTTGATTTATGTAAAAAATAATGATGAAATTCACTTTTTTTACTTCAAAACAACAACAAAACAATCTGTATTCCTAGAATGCAGACAAAAAAAAAGGTTGATGATGAGCTGGACATATAAAGTGTCTGAGGGTGGGAGTGAAGAGCTTCATACTGACTTCCAGTGGGGTTCAACTGGAAGGGGAACGATGTGGATGGCAGTGGGAGGGTCAGGGGGAGAAGGGGGAAGGAAGGGGTGAGGTGGAGAAAGTAAGGAGAGAAAAAAAGAAAGTGGTGGGGAAAAGAGATACCCAGCGAGACAAGGAAGCAGCAAATGTGTGAGAGCGAGCAGGAGAGACGTGGCTCCAGTTCTGCAGCGGGTCGGAAACTGGATCTGAGACAATGTTCCTGTGAAGGTGGGCGCCGGGTCACAGCGCTGCATATGTTGGTCAGCCATCACTTCCTGCTCTACGGGTTTATTGGCTTAAAAGATCTTTGTCCAGAGATACTAACCGGTAAAAAAAATTGCAATAATCACGTCTGACCAGTAGGAGGCAACAAAGTTAGCATCAACTAAATGAAGAAACTGGAGGGAAAAAAAAGAGAAAAAATATAAAAAAAACAGTGAAGAGGTTCTTTTTTATATCAGCACAGAAAAAAGAATATGAAGAAAACGGATTAGGCTCATTCAACGGTTCTGGTTCTGTTCTTTTTTTTTATTTAATCAGTGTTAAAGGGTTAAATCTGCTTCGCTGAGGATCATTTCCTGCAGACATCCTCTGGTTTTTACTTTGATGTTTTCTTGTTCGTTCCTCTGGGTTCTGCAGCTCGTTTCAACCACGAAGCAGGGGTTCCATAAAAGTTGACAAACAATCCAATTGACTTTGTTTTTAACTTTGAAGACATTTTGCTTCCCATGCCGGAAGCTTTTTCACTTCAAAATGTCAGGAATAGCGTTGAGTTCCAGGCTTCATAGAATGGACCAAAAACAAAGCCTTGTTTTGGCTTAGAAAACATCTAAATTGCACCTGACAAACGGCTCAGTCCCTTTGGAATGGGGGTCGTTTTGTTTCTTTGGCAACATTCACACCGCAGCCTGAAGTAAACCAAATCCGATTTTTTTGCCCATATGCGACCTGGATCCGATCTTTTCATGGCAGATCCGATTTTTTCCAATGCGACCCACGCCACTTGGCTATGTGGTCCTGAATCCGATACGAATCTGATCTTTTCAAATGCGACCTGTGTCTGAACGGCCAGGTCGTATTCATCCGACCTGAACGCCATTAGTAACCGACATAGGTCACAATTATGCGTCTTGCTACGGAGAAGCTACAAGAAAAACAACAGCCATGGCAGACGATGATGCGGAGAGCAGTAGTTATGTTTAAACATATTGAAAAGATTGAGTTTTTAATGGTTGGAAAAGGCCGCTTGATGCTTACTTCCGGAAAAAAAGAGCATGCTGGCCTGTGATATCATTGCGTCCTCTACTGCGCATGCGGGACACTCGCGTTGTATGACTACAGTTCCCACAGGATATCACATACAAGTCGCATATATTTGGAATTATGAACGGCAACGCGAAAAAATCAGATCTCACAAAAAAATCGGAATTGAGCATCAAGGCCTGCAGTGTGAATGTAGCCTTTGTTAGCCTGCGCCCGAGACCTGTCTATGTCTCTGAAAGGGGGGCCGTTAAAGGGAATTGTTGGCCTGGCTGAATAGGCGAGGTCTTCTGTTCCCATGTAAAGGGGTTGGGGTTGCGATGATAGCGGGAAGGAATCAACTCAACCACTGAATTGTCCACCCCTTCTGTTGGATGGCTTCCTTCACACCCCTTTCAAACCTCCTGTCTTCTTTGTCCAAAATGTGAACATTCTGGTCCTCAAAAGAATGTCCTTTTTTTTTGGGGACTAAAAAAGCTTCCTGGATGGGAAGCGAAACGTCTTCAAACTCAGAAGAAATAACCAGTGGATTGTTTTTCTTTTACTTTTCTGGAATGAACCGATCATTCTCACTGATGTGTTTGTCTCTTCCATAAAGAGCAGAGCTGTGGTGTGAATGCCTCTCAGCCTCCACCTGAGACATGGGTCTCTGCAGCTCCTCCCCAGTAATAATGAAGTCTGAAAGGATAAAATTCACCCGATAATTTAAAATTTCCTTGCTTCTTTTTTCTTCCTCAGCCAGTGAAGTGCAAGTACTTTAATCAGAAAGCATCTGGATGTTTCTACTTTGTTTTATGTAAACAACATTAAGTAATGAATCTGTAATCCGCACTCAGATCTACTGGAAACAAGGCTTTGGTCCTGTCATAAAGGACCGGACACTAGACTGAGGATGCATGCTTGGCAAAACGGCAGAGTTGGTGTTAGTTTCCAAGTAAGGAGACACAGAGAGGACTATGGTCCTCCTTTTCTCTGATCATTGCTTTCTTAGTCCAGCGGTTCATTCTAGGCGGACCTCATTGTCTTAGGATGTTTGATTGATCAGAGCTCTGGGAAACCTTCAAGTGTTATAGAAATATTTAGTTTGTGTATTTTATCCCTAACCGTCCAGCTGTGGGGAAAACTATCATGTTTAACTCCTCCTATATGGAACAGTGAGCAACTAGCAGCTCCCGCGGAGCATCCAGGGGTTAAAGGTCATTTCTAGGGCAACCAGAGGGGCCGCTCTGGTTCTAAAGACTTCATTCACACTGGGATCCTGAAGTGTTCTGCTGGTTTAGAGCATCTAGTTAATGAAGATGGTTGTGGACGCCCAGTTGGAGCTTCTGCCCTTCTGGTTTCAGGCTAAGGTTTGTTTGTCCTTCCTGTGGATTTTCTCCTGGTTAAATCTGCCATTAGATGTTATTTAGGATGCATGATGGATCTAAAGTCAATTAGAGGCGTAGAGAAGAGAGGAATTATTCTGATGGATCGCTCAGAGATGGTCATTAGCATCATTTATTCCTCAGATGTTCAAAAATAACAGATGAAAAAAAATTAAGGTTTAAGCTTAAAATTAAACATGTCTAGTCAAATTTCAGACTGGATCAGATTAATTTTAGGGCTGAATGAAGCTGTAAGTAGGGATGTCATTAATCAACCTTCCAATCCCAGTCTCCATTGTCTCAGAGCCGGTTTTCACTTCCTCTCACCAACCAGCTGCAGCTGCTGGAGGACCTTCAGCCAGTTCCTGACTGCAGGAGGAGCAAAATCTGTGGATGGGAGCGAGTCAGAGCGGCGGGTACCTCTGCTGAGCCCGTCGGGCCCCCGGAGGATCCGGCACTCCTCGATCTGTCCGAACGCAGAGAACATGACCCGGATGTCGTTCTCGTTGCACTTCTTGGAAACCATGCCGATGAACAGCTTCCTGTCTTCCACAGCTGGAAGGAGAAGAGCAGAGACATGGATTAGGACACGATGTGGGTTAGTGGACAAGTTAAAGGAGGGGGGGTTAAAAAAACTACCACTGTATCCAGGGGCGGATTTAGGAAATTTGGGGCCCTAGGCAAAGACAGGCAGAGGGCCTCTGAATTGAGAAGAAAAAACATAAAACAGACCCATTATACAGATACAGAAGTTTTAATAGAATAGATATACATTATTTGTTCTACATTTGTCCCTTTTCTTCTTGTTTTCCTCTCTATGTTTTGTACTCAGCTGACTTTTCATGATGCCTCTAAAGGAATGAAAGATTATTTTCCAAGCACTAAGCTCACTTAGCTGATTGTTTTTCCAAAATGGCGACAGCAAAAGCAATTGACACAGTCCTTCTTTTCACTGTAGACAAGCCATGATCTGCTTCTCTGTTCTCCATTTTTCATTTGGATGAAATAATAGCTGCATGAATCATGACAGCAGACAAGATAGAGGAGAGCAGGAGGCGGGGTTACCAATCTACTCGCTCTGGAGAGCAGAGTTCGCTGCTTTTAGATGTTGTCTCCAAAGTCTCCAATAGCAGAAAAAGGTCGCTAGATTTGATGCTAGGCGCTTTATTGTAATCAAAGTGCTACAGGGTCTGAAAAGTCGCTAAATATAGCGACTAAAGCGCTAAGTTAGCAACACTGCTCTTCGCATTGTTTGTTTTCAAATGGTTTGCTGCTGCCTGTTTGGACCTTTCTGAACATGTGCAGCAAATGGACTGATCCAATATGGCGGACACTGAAGGGGGGGATGAGACACACTTATTATAAGCGTTCTGATGGAATTTTAGCGAAAGGATTTTTATCAAAAAACATAATTAATGTGAACAAATAAGAAATAGTTGTATTAACCACACATGTAAAAAGAGTTTTATGGGGCCCCCAGGAACTTGGGGCCAGAGGCAACTGCCTAGTATTGCCTAATAGTAAATCGCCTCCCAACTGTTACAGTAGCAGCTTTTTGCTGCATCTTCATCTCCAACGGCTGAAACAGTGACGCATTTACTCTATGTAAACCTGACAGTAACCCGTTAGAACCGGGTCAGAACTCAGAACAAATAAAAGTGTTAGAAACCAAATCAGAGAATTAAACAAGAGAAACAGACTTCCTGTGCATCACCCAGTCCCTCCTCTTCGTCTTGAACCCCCCCGGTGCTGCCCGGTAGCGGGGCAGCCGGGCTCAGCGTCCACGCCTTCATACAGCATTCAGCGTAAGGTTAATCCAATTCATTTTTAATGAGGAAACTGTCAGCTCTTTCCGCGAGGCCGAGCAGATAAGCGCTCCGTTGCTCTCTGGGAAATCAATAGTGCACTTGTTTATTTTGCTGTTTGAATCGTTTGTGTGTTTAAGGAAAAAAAAAAAAAAAAAAAAAACAGAAGCAACAACAAACCGCCGGGATTGGCTGTCGAGATAAGAGGCGCTTCAAAAGGCTCTAACTGCTCCGTAGGCAGCGTGTTGGTGTGTGTGCTCATCACTCCAGAGGTGATTAGCACGAGTCTAACAGCAGCGTAATTAATTTACTCTGCGTCGATAGAGAGGAAGGAGAGCAGATATCCTCACAACTGGCTGTTTCTGTTTTCGGTGCGAGGCGTGCCGGCAGGCGGCGAGGCGATAAGGACCCATGAAGACCCAGGGAGCGTTGCATTGTGGGATACAGCAGAGGAACGGGCTGGTTTGAACACATCAAGGGACTAAACTAGAACCACCAAACCTTTAGGGGGGGAAAAGAAAAAAAAAGTCTTTCTCCTCTTTCCCACGTCCTCCGCTGACTAAACTGATAAAGCTGGCGGCAGCCGTTCGTCACTCTGAAAGCAGATCTAACAGCGGGTTTATTAAAGGTCGTTACCGTTTAATGGATGGATACGTGTCCCTCGTCAGGCTCCATATTTCACGCTTCCAGCTGTGAGCCGGAGCGTCTTTATTGAGTTCCAGCGTCCTCGCCCCGACGGTTATGTCTTATAAAGTCACATTTGGCCATATTTCAGTGGAGCGGATGATGGCTTTTCTACGGTTTCCTTTTTTTTTGGGTTTTTCCTGCAGAACATGGGGGATCCTGACGCCTCTCCTCCGCCAGATAAAAACTCATGTTAAGTTGTGCTGAGGCCCCCAGGATTAAAACGGCCCCCTTTTATTTCCAGTTATGATTTTACAGCATCTATTATCACGTTCTGCTCAATTACTCAGCTTTAAGGGTCATTTCATCAAAATTACAGAAGCTCCCATTTTCTGCTCTTACCCATGCAAATAAATCGGCTTTAATTTGCCAAAACTTCTGCTTTCTGTCACTGATATCTATATTCAGCCCCAATAAGTTAATAAGGGGTCTGCTGTTTATCCAACCAGAGTAATCATGCATCTGTTCTAGTAAAGTTTGCCCTTAATATTCTTTTAAACTCTGGGCACATTAAAATGAAAAATTCTCTGTAATTTCTGAGCAGCAGCAGGATGCAGATCAGAAACACGAAATTCTGCATCTACAGCCTCTCCTACTATTATATGCAGAGAATATTCCTCTTTATATTTTGTAAGCGTTTAACCATCGACCTCTAAACTCACTGGGTCGGTTTGTCCATAATATCAATGAGCAGACGGCTCAGAATCTCTGGCTCTGGGTCAATCTGCTTTGGTTCTGATGTAGAAATCAGCATCTGCTAGACTCCATGAAGCTAAAGACCACAAAACGTAAGAAGAACCTTTTTAGGTAGGAACCATGTAGAACCTTCAGAACCAAACCAGGTGAGGCAGCATCTTCAGAACTGGAACAACCTGCCTGAAATCCAAAAAAAGTTTTTTTTTTTTTTACTTTTTTTGGAATTTGTTTG